TTAGTGCGCATTTATCAGTTTGAATAACTCGGATTTTGTGTTATCTAGCCCACCGCTTTTCACTGGTTTTAAACAATGGTGACGTTTTAGATAGCATTTTGCAAACCGGTAAAGTCACTTGATTAAAAGTGGATTTTTATTTTGTCATAGAATATCTCAACAAAGTGACTTCAATTAGAGGACTATTGGAAGCCAGGAAGTACTGGAGATCTGTTTTTTTATGGTTTGTGACTCTTCAACAGCATGCATTCCTGACTCCACTGGCGATCGAACTCAGGACCTTCGGATCACGACGGCGACGCGTTGCCAATTCAGTCTTTGAATTCTGAATTCTTCTGATTTGGCGTATGTGTGTAGTGCAATCGCTCAACAATGTCATCAGGGAGAATTTGTTTTCACACCTAACTTGGTGGACCGCAGCTGCATCTCCAGGCAATCTTCATTAAGTATGCTATCAGTTTTAAAGTGTTGATTTAGTCATCCAACAACCTGAAGGTCCTGGATTCACTCCCTAGTGGGGGTATTGGTGCGTACTGCTACAGAACCCAAAGCTAGGATGAGACAGCCACACAGAACTTCTTTGTTATCTGTGATTATCTAGTTGAATTCAGTCCGTCATCTAACATGAAACCAGTTAAATCTATGCAAATTATTTTAATTGAAGATTTATTGCCGACAAAGTATCAGGAAAATCCATCTAGGTAGAGTTAATTGGCTGTGATTGTTTGAATTAAAAAAAACGTGAACCCATCTATGTAATCATCAAGAGATTTGTTCTTCTTAAAAATGTGAACTACTCATCGGAGGTGTTTTCGATTTTAAATATTAATTATGAAATGATAATGAGGCTTAGTCATCCTTTTGCCTTTTTTTCGGCCTATTTCTTATTTGACAAGACGATGAGGCAATTGTTTAGAGTAATCATTAAGAATGTATCCAGTCTAATCAGTATTTAAATCATAGTAACTTACAATTAGTGGATGGTGGCTAGCAGTGGAATCCAGGATGCGCATTTCGTCCTATTTGGGACTCGTCAGCTGGATGTACCTGCATTTCTCAGTGAGTGATGATGTTCCCACCGAGGCTCGAACCCAGTACCCATAGTAACTTATGTTTATTTAGCTGGATGAAAAATACTTTGTAAATACATCCAAAATGTTAAAATAATTTATATTATTATTCCCTTGGATTCCAAGTGGAACATAGGGCTGCAACAATACACCTCCACTTTCTTCTGTTTTCTGCTGTCCTCTTTAGGTAGATCCGCGAATGACTGTAATCTCTCATCCGCCTGTTACACAATCTGCTTGATATCACTCTCGCACTGACGACCAGCTCGTCGCTTCTCTCACTGGGTTGTCCATTCGAACAATGGTCTGCATTGCGCGGGTGATGTCATTCAACGGCCTCCTCAATGACGTATGCCCCATCCATCTCCATTTTATCCTACATATGTGTTGAGTAATCGGCCATTTTGTTTGGTTTGTTCCCCCATCCAGAGTTTCTTGTTGCTAATTCTTTCTGGCCGGCCGGCCGGCTGGTCATTTGATCTTCAGTATGGGGAACCAGCAAAGTGTGCATCTGTAGATAAAAGTCTGTAACTGGCAGTCAGAAATCCTTTTCGTGACAGGCGGTGCAAGTTTCTGACCCATATAGAAGAACTGACTGACTGACGTCACATTTGTGTTGAACAGAATCCGAATCTGGTCGTTCATGTTGGCTGAGTGAAGTGCAGAAGATTTCCAAACTGACTTCAGGCTGATGAAGACGTGCGTATCTTGCCTTTCCGATTCTGGTTGGCTGGCCGGCCCTGACATCCTCATCTGTTCTGACTGGCCGTGGTCAAAATGATGCTTCCTAGCCGGATAATTGAAGGAAGTAGCCTCTGTCAAATCTCTCCCCCTGATGGTAATTGATGATGGTTGTTGTTGCTGTTCATTTGGAGTCCTGTCTTCGCTGACATTCTCTCTAGCCAGTTTGTTGGTTTTCGCCTCTAAGTCTCCGAGTTTGTGTGACATTAGACAAACATCGTCCACAAAATTCAGATCTTCTGGAGTCTTCTGATCGATCCAACACATTCCTGTCTTCTCACTCACAACGCACAGTCTTCCGCCTACTCCAGTCCACCACAATTAAGACTAAGAATATCATCGGTGATAATAGTCAGCCAGCCTTGTCTTACTCCTGGATTCACTTCGAACACCTCTCTGAGTTTTCCATTGTGGATCACCTGACACGTGAAATTGTCAATATAGCCAGCTGTTGATTGAGATTGATAAAGACTTGGGCACTGAGCGCCGTAGTGTTGAATCAGTTTTCAAATTAATTCTATGCTTTGTTCAGTGATGACGCGCAGAATTGCAATTTGATCGGCGTATGATTTACCCTTTCTGAATCCAGCTTGTTTTTGGCTGGTGTAGTCTCGCATCCAGAGCATCTTTCACACTTTCCAGGATGATGCGACTTAGTGTTTAACTTGGCGTGGTCGACAGAATTATTCCATGCCAGTTCTCGCTTCCTTCACCGCGTTCAGTAGGTTGATTGGAGGGAAGGTGTCCACTGACAGGCAGTTCTGTGCGTGCTGTTGGTAGTCATGGTATTTTTGTGTGAGTTGCAGGTGATAGTCAATTCGAGTATGCTCTGATGTTATCAGCCCACTGTTTTATTTGTTTCTCTCCCTTGGTAATTAGGTGCTCTTGAACATATTTTATTTGTTTCACCTGCATTGATCTGTTTTTGAATAGAGACCTGGTTACTTAATATAGTGTTCTGAGGTCTCTTTTATCTGCGGTCTATCTGTTCTGCTTCAGTTGCTTGAAACAATTCACACGAATAATTTTATGACTACATCTTTTCTTTATTAGACAGCCTTTTTAAATTTTGAAAAAAACGCCATTCCCGCTTTTCGTTGATAAAATTTTACTACATAGTTACACAGACAAATTAAGATGTATTTAACTGATGACTAGCAATCACTAATCATAACCATATATATATTCGTTTGAAGTTAATTGGAATATGTTATTCGATAAAATCCAGTCTAAACACTAGTAGACTTAAGGCTGATGTCATTAGTAAAGGATAGCGCAACTTTATAAGGTGTACTCACTAAAAACTACTTATGTGAAATGATTTTTTTTTTTGATTACAGCTTGATTCCACACTGTATTTTTGGTACAGGTATGGAATTTTCAGCATGGATATCGGTAGCCCAAATTTCCCAGGCAGACCATAGATATCAGGTGTGCGTCGGTGTGGGCTCGAACCCCGGACCATGTGGATGGTTGGCGAGAGTCCTAACCACTGTGCCACCAACGCCAAAAATAAAGAACTCTATGTCAATAAGTTTCCTCTACCTGAATCATTATTGTCATTCCCTCGGTTTCCGAGTGAAAGATAGGACTTCACTAGCACATCTTCATTTCATCCTGTTCTCTGTGTAGTCTTTTCTACCTGGCTCCACCATTGTCCATAAAGTTTCACGTCTTCTTCCTGTTCTTCACACGACCTTCTGTATGTCACCCTCGAGCCCTTGTTTCCCATTAGTGCCTGGCGCATGATGTCACTCAGTGTATGTTCATTCCACCTAAAATGTCTACTTCAAGTTTTCTGGGTGATAGGTTCTTGATTGGTTCGTTGCCATAGATTTTTTTGTTGATTATCCTTTCTGCTCAGTCATCTGTTGATGACACTCAACAGCAGGCTGTTGGAAATTCTTTTGGTATGAATTCTCTGAATCATACAGTAGCACACTGAGTGACTTGACAAGAGTTTAGAAGATTCGGATGTTGTTCTTCATTCTCAGAGCAGCAGATTTCATCTTGATGAATATCCGTGTTACTTCTTCTATCCTAGCTGTGACAGTTCGTACTGTCAAGGTGAACTATTAATCCTAAAGTCTATTAATTTTCCAAGCTTTAAACTTCAAGTCATCTGTGTGGTTCTCCATCAAGAAATATTTCAGCCTTATTTTCCACATTTTAAGAGTAATACTCAAGCTCAGTGTATATTGGTATGCATTTTATTTTATTTATTTTTTTTTTCTGGTTAATTTGCGATCATTTCATTGTGAACACTAATCCATTAAATGACGTTGTGGTTGAATGAAGGCAATTTCTGTTGTCTAGTATATACAGTGTCTGGTTTCTGTAATTTGTTTTGTTACGTTTTAATAAATAGTTTAGGGATTTTTTCTCTTTCTAAACTGAATTATTTAAGCTGCATAGATAGCTCTGTTACACAATTCTCATTCCAACGCCACACAGTACAATAGATGTTAACTTAGCAAAGGAAATGTTAGTTGTTTTTAGTATATTATGTGTGTATGTCAATAAAATTTAAATCAATCTCACCTTATTCCCTCCCATATATATCTGATATGATTTTACTAAGGCATAAAAATAATGTTTTTGTAAGAATCATAAAATTACTGGTGAAAATAATTTTCATCAGTGGTTGGCAAAACCTTTTATTTTTTATTTTTTAACATAAGTTAATTATTTTTCCTTGTTTGCGTTAAGTGTAGATAGACTACACTTAGGATACATTTTCTGTGGCTATCGAAATTCGCTATTACCAGTTAACTGAAGTATGACTATGCAACATCAATTAATATCAGAAAAGCCTATAATTTATGGATGCAGTGTGCAACTTACTCCAGTGTGCGTCTGTGTGTGTGTGTGTGTGAGAGCGTATGTATGACTGTTTTCTTTTTACAAGGAAGTTGACCACACCCCGCGTGTACTTCATAAAAGTAGTCAGACATTTATTTATTGTGATTTAATAATGGTGTTTTGGGCGTTCACATATTCGTTTTCACTCTATTTATTGTCTTATCAAATTTACCGTCGTTTATTTACTTACAAGTGATACCTTTTATCGTGATATGCATGTACATTTACATGTTTTTTTTATAGTAGTAAGCAAATAAAATTTAGTGTTTACACTTTCTTTACTTCACTCTTTTTTTCTTCTCTCTCTCTCGCTCTCCCTCTGTAAAGGTTACCACTTGTCACAATATGCCAAAGTTATCTGCTAAAACAGTACAAAGTGAAAATAATGCACCAGTCAGTTCAACGGACTGTAAACTAACTGATAACACCTTGACACGGGCTAACACTTTATCTACAGTGGGTATCACGAATACTATTAGCAATAGTACAACTACTTCAGATGACATGATCAAGAAATTCGAGTCAACTGACATTACTACACCTACTAGAACATCTCATCCTGGGTCTGTTATGAAGAATAATGATCCCAATTTCAATATAACCAATAGTAATAATAACAATAATTCCTCATTTTATTCAGTTCCACATAATATACCGATGAATGGGAATACAACCAGTTCTGATTTACCTGAAAGGCAAAGATTAAAGAAGTTGCGAAATTCTCGTCTGATGTCAAATTTTAACAGTACAACTGACGACAGCAATCACATGAGAATTAATAAATTTATGCAGACCACTTCTCTGTTAGATTATTTATCAAGTAAGTTGAAAAATATTTTCTTTGTCATCTTTGTTTCACAGGCAATGTTCTGTTTATTAGCTAACATTAATAATAATAATAATAATAATATTATTATTGCTATTATGACTGCTTGTTTTGTCTCACCTTCTGGTGCACAATTTCTTTCTGCTGTTCTGTTTTATACTGATCACACTTGCTTATATTCAAGGCATAATTTTTTCTTCTAGTTATTCGTTGAGGATTTTATTTTGAAATAATATGCAGACACCAGGAAATATTCAAAAATTTTTATTATTTTGAATAATCCCTGTTGACAGTTATTTTCTTGCTAGTTGTTTGTATATGAAAGCAGTAATTTCATACATTCTGGATTATGTCTTGTGACTGATATGCCGTTCATGTGCGGATATATCAAGTCAAAGTATTAACGTTGATTAGTGCTTCTGTAAAAGGCATTTATGCTAATATTATTTATTTACTTTTATTTGATTACAGCTTGATTCCACACAGTACTTTTTGGTAGAAGTATGGAATTTTCAGCATGTGATATCGGTAGCCCAAATTTTGCAGGCCGACCACTGATATCAGGTGTGCGTCGGCAGGGGATCGAACCTTGGAAGATGTGCATGGTCGGCGAGAATCCTAACCACTGTGCCACCGACGCACACAGAGAGAAACAGATTGATACTGTAGAATTCGAACTCTTTTATTGTGCACTAAAGACTACAGAAATGACCATGCTGTTTGAAGGTGACTGCTTCAAATGACATTATGACCCAGGGAGTTATGTTTTCTTAAAAAATTACCCCTGACCCCATATATACATCAATTTGGTAATTTAAAGCTAACTATATTACTGGTAAAAGTTATTTTCACTATAAGCATGACGGTTACTGATCTACCGGAATTCCGATGAATTTGAGGCAAACCGAACATGTTCTCACCAAGAAAAAAAACATTTATTGATGTAATACAAAACAACATAATTTCTGTCTACATGAATTAATTAAGTCAGATAATTTTCTATAGTTTGGTTTGTAAGGGTTAGTTATGCTTTTACGACTTGATCACGGATTGATATCAGTTAGAGAACCATTGAAAACCAGGGAGTACTGGACAGCTTCTGTTTCATCCTAGTTTTTGGGGAATCATCGGAAGTACGCACCCACTGGGATTCGAAACCATGACCTTCCGGTTACAAGGCCAGCTAGCTCGTATGCCATTCAGCCACTGGGACCCGATTCAATGGCCAGCCCATGAATTCTAACTTCTATCAATTTGTAATTTAGCGCGACCCCAACAATTGTCGTTGGTTGGACATCCATTTCCACACGTGACATATAATTGGACCTCACTGGTCACGACTTCTCACTAGAACTCAGGAAACTGCAACCTGTAGCAAGTCACTAGCGTGCATCAGATTAGTTTTCTATAGTTTGGTTTCTAAGGATTTCCTGAGTTAAAATTCATGGGCTGCCCACTGAATCGGTTTTCAATGTCTGAATGGTATACGAGCTTTTCTTGTAACGGGAAGGTCCAGGGTTCGAACCCGGTCAGTGGGCTTGCACTACCGATGATTCCCAGAAAACTAGGATGAAACAGCAGCTGTGTCAGCACTCCATGGTATTCAATGGTTCTCTAACTGATATCAATCCGTGATCAACTCGCAAATCAGATAATGTAAATATTTACTTCGTTGAATCAGTCAAGAAAACTCCCGTCTAAGGACGTCAGTGATAACTGTTTGGTGTTCTAGGAGTCTTCATACTTCATTACGAGTGTTTTATAAACAGTTTAAATGATTCCATTCGCACTTGCATTATAATAAAGTAGGTCATAATTGTAGTAATACGTATTTTAATGATACGTATCGTTTACTGAGTGTAATTTGCCTGACATTATGTACAAAGCGTCTGACTGAATTTGTAAAAAAAAACTCGATCATTGTAAATGTCGTGCTGCTAGTCTTTAAGTTCTGAACAATATGCCGTACTTCTCAGAATCAGATATAATTCCTCATCTTTTTTGTATTTATGGATTTCGAAAGTTTTAACAACAGCTGACCATTAGTTATTTATGAGGTTTCCTACTAAACAGGTTCAAATGATTTTGGAACATTTAAATAGACATACAACTGTAGGCAAAATACTATATGTCTTTAACTCATACTGATTATATTATCAGTTTTACTCATTCTTTGAATTCAGAGTGGAAACTAGAACTTCAGTAGCACGTCTCTGCTGCACTCACTTATAAATGGCTTTGAGAATTTCTACAAACTTTCATTTCCTCATAAAGTGATCTTCATCATATTACCTTCGATTGTTAGATCCGTCGCTTCATATTTAAGGTCTACTCAACGAATATAGTGTGTTGTGTCACTTGTAGGTCTGCCCAGTGTATGTTATGCCCATCTAGTGGTATTAAAATTAACAATAAATTCGATTTTAAATGTATTTTGTATCTCCACAAGCTAATAAAATAAGCTGATTCACAAGTACTGGGTTGTTGATGTTTGTATTATTCTTATTTAGTAAAGTCCAATGCCACTTGTCATACTATCTGTGCTGCTTGAAACACTGGAGCTCACTCATGTTCGGAACAAAATAACCTTAAGAAACCGATAAATTACTCTGCTATATTTAAAAAACAAGTGTTACAGGCATATTTTTAGGAAATGACGCTTTTGGATTACATAATATTCTTGTCAAAAAAGCAGTATAAACACAAAGAATTATGTCTTTAATGACTTTCTGTTGTGTGTTATTGGTAGCTGAATACTGGACATTGTGTTTTGTCGCTCATAATTTTGTGTTGATTTCAAGTGGTTTCAGTGACCGGAAATCCTAAAGAATGAAATATAATTTTTCAGTGTTGTTTGCAGAGATTTGATTTGACTGGTTACAGGATTTCATCACGAGCTGGTTCTCTAACCGATATCAGCTCATGATGAAATCCTGTAACCAATAGAACACATGTTTAGTCTTTTGAGATTACCACATAATAGCCATTCAGTTAAAGCAGTAAACAATAAATGACATATTAGACATATCGAACAAGCATACTATACGCTTAGAAACTTTCTGTTACCTTTTTTTCCTTTGTGTTCCCCAGTGGAACATAGGGCTTCAAGCTAGTGGCTTGAAGTTTCTGTAGCAGTGTTTCATTTTACAGGATGGGGTTGCTAGCTCCATGCCCAACCTCTCCTCTTTACCAACATTATTTCTGGCTTAGCGAGGTAAAAGAGTAAGTTGGAGGCCGGGAATCGAACTCCGGACCATGTGCACGGTCGGCGAGCGTCCTAACTGCTATGCAACAGACGCACATTCTGTTGCCTTTGCGCTTTATTTAAGTCAGTGATTAGAACAAATCATGGTTCACACCAACAAAGAATTGTGTTCTATACTTACTAGTGCGTTCAGTATTTTTTTAAATGATAGAAGTGAAGCTGACTGCTTTAGCAATCAGTCGAGTTGATCATGGATTGAAAACCAGGACGTCCTAGACAGCTGTTCCATCGGGTCCCAGTGGTTAAATGGTATGCGAGCTTCTCTTGTAACCGGAAGGTCCTGGGTTCAAACCCCACTGAGTGCGTACTACCGATGATTCCCAGAATAGGGTGAAACAGCTGTTCAGTAATCCCTGGTATTCAATGGTTCTCTAACTGATATCAATGCGTGGTCAACTCGTTATATTTTTATTTCTTATATTAATCTCGTCTTGTACACAGGAAGTTAACTGATAACGTGTCAGACTTGACGAGGCTTACTTGTCTGTTTGTTGCTTGTCAACACGATTTATTCACTCAGTTTTCCATTATGTGTATTGGAACGGAGGTTGAGGTCCGAAAGTGAGTGTAACGACACTACAGTGCTCATTAAAGTGAATACCATTACTGGTATCGGATGAAGGAGATGTCTTCAAAGTTGTGAGAAGAACAGGTCACATATATGGGAGAGGAGTTGCTAAACTGGTAATACTTGCGTGAACATTCGAATAATATTAAACTTTAAAAAATAAATGATGGGGAAATAATTCTGATTGATGTAAGATTGAATTCACTTATTAGAATAAATTTCCTCTGATAACAGTTAGTTTGAAAATGGTTTAAAGCAAGAGTTTTATTACACCCTAGTTAATTAGACAAGTCTTGTTTGTACTGAAGATCTGAAATGTTTTCATCTAGTGTCTTTGTCAAATCGCATGCTTAGAGGTGGCAATTTTGAAAAAAGCTACCCTCTTTGAAAAATAGAATTTTTAGTATACGCTTGCTCTACTCTTAATTCTTGATCTTGAGTATATTTTTCAACTCTTTTAGAACAGAGTGTTTGTTTCTAGGTTCTTATAATTCTTGTAAATATGGATGAACACTTGAAATGGAATCAAAATGGCACTAAGGAAGCTCTTTTCCAGCTAAACGTTGATTTGTCTGTCTTTCAATTCTGAAATTTTGTTATATTTTAATGCCGAATAAATGAAAAGTAGTTTAAACATACTGTCAACATTCTTCGTAATAAATGTCTTAGTATATTGTTTAACCATAGCATATTCTTAAAATCAAATTATTCCTTATTTATGTTCTCCTTTGATTACAATTTTCTAACCTACTAAATCTTGTCTTATCACCCTTCGTTTATAACTAACATGGTGAAAGTTATTACAAATCGGATGTTAAGTTGACCATGCATAATTTCTGCTTAGGTAAACATAAAGTGGATTTCATTTTCTTATTCTATCATAAAGTTAATCAAAAAATGGGCTGGGTTAACAGTGTGAAACAATCTTTATGAGACATTGATTATTACCTACAATAAAATTGTCATCAATTGGTGTTAAGGTGTTTTTAAGTTGTTGAATTGACATTTATTTGTTAGACATGAGGCGTAGAACTCTCAGCTGGAAAAAGTGGACTTTTTGATACAGTTTTTAATTAAACCGCAGTTTATGAAAATGTTTAAGTTAGTGAGTGTTTGGAGTAAGTATTGATTATCTTCCCTTGTAAGTAGTTTAATTTCTGA